GCGAACTCTATAAGCAGTCCATCTTATGTGTGGACTAGTCTTTCTGCCGCACGAGAGCTACTACTATTGGGAATTCGACAGAAGATACATTCTAGATATGAAGTCAAGATGTGGGAGGATCCGTGGGTCCCTACAACACCAGCTAGGCCGGCTACCCCTTTAGCCCCATCTCTACATCCAAATATGAGAGTCAGTGACCTTAGTATTCAGGCCTCAAAGGAATGTGATATTGGTTTATTGGAGAATTATGTAAGTCCGGAGGATATACCTCTCATAAGAAGTTTGGTCATAAGTTCAACTCATCGTCATGATACATTTTGCTGGAGTTATACTAGGAACTAGGATGGGATTCGCGCGTCCGCGCAGATTTTTGTTCATTTTTATATAGATTTTTTTTTACTTTATTGTAGTATATATTTTTAAAATTTACCTATACTAAAGAATTGTTTAATATGCAACACTAATAATTTTATAGTTTATATGAAGTAATTTTATTTTGTGTTTGAACAGTTAATTTTATCATCCAAATTTTTTTATCAGTATTCGAATTGTATTGGACTATTAGTTATAGGAACATATCTGTAAAATAATACAGTACATATTAATTTTATATTTATTTATTATATAAATTGACTATTATTACATGGTCTCTATTTTTTAGTTATTACTAATAAATAATGACAATTGTTTTTAGGTAGATTTAAACAATAATTAATTTTAAATTTAGTAAATAAAAAAAATTCAAGAAACAACATTTTCAAATGCCAGTAAAATATATAAAATAGGAATTTATGGTTTAATACTTAAAGTTGGATAGAGCATTTAGAAGGTTGAGATTTGTGTAAGGTTTTGAGGATGGAATCATTTAATCATTTATTATTTAGTGAATGTTGTATTGAATGTTTTATTTTCTGAATGCTATTTATTAATTTTATTAGCTTCAAAATGGCTAATACAATCATGCCCACTAATATTTAAACATTTTTTCTTTTTTTTTTTAAATGTATGATGAAAGACATTACTGAATTAAAAAGCAAAAAAAAATGCATAGTGGGCATATGAATCTATTTAACTAAAATGTAATGTTCAATGTATATCATATATGATTTGTAAACAATATAGAATTTAATTGTAAATTCGATATTTTCGTTTATGTTTTCAATTAAAAACAATTTTGGATTTTCATTTTTCTATACACAATTTTTAAAAAACTTTAAAGAATTAAAACATGATAAGTTAATAATACAAACTGAAATTAAGAGATTGATATATTTTCCATTTAGCTAGTAGCTAAAAATAAGGAACAATTAAGCTATTTTTGGTAATATCATAGATATTATGAATATTATGTGGAGTTAATAAATAATTTTCTTAATTAATAGTTACTAACTCAATGGCATTATATAGGAAAATTTAGGGTCAATTCTTATTTGTATTCCTCTTTTAATAGTTTTGATGGTAAGTACACGGTTAAATCTGTATATTGGGTAGCTCAAAACTTATTAAAGGTAGAGGAAGAAAAGGAAGTGCTTGAGCCAAGTATCACTAAGCTTCAAGCCTTTGCTTGGAAGATAAAAGCGCCCAAGAAGATATATCATCTTATAT